TATTTATTTATATTATTTTTAAACAAATTAAAATATAAAATAAGACTTTTTGTCATAAAATAATTACAATATATATTAGGAGAAAAAACCTATTTAAATAGTGGTTAGTTAGTGTTACATCAAATTAAAAAACAGCTAAATAAAATGTTTGAATTGATAATTATTTTGGTTAACTAGTAAAGTTTTATTAATTAATTCATTACTAGAATTGTAATTTTGGGTAAAAAGAAAAAGTAATAAAGTAAAAACAACGCTTGAAAACAGGCGGCGCGTGGGGTATAGAGGTGGGTGGGGTTTCTTCTAGGTAGGAGACCGAAAGGTAACTCCATGTTTGACTGGGTACATCTCGAGATTCGTGTCGGGATTGCACGTGCTCTACTGCCGTCCGATCGTTTGCGTTTGTGCGTGGGATTTTCAAAATCTAATGATTATGGTAAATAAGTGTATGTTTTTTTTTTTAAATAAAATAAAAAGAATTTTATTTGGCGATAAAAAAAAGGGAAAGAAGACAGCGGTGGTCCCACGTAGACGCCGACGGTTGAAGTGATGCTCCGCTGCCGCTCTTGCGTCTTGGTGGGCCCCGGTATTTAGTCGTCATTCTTCATATGCTGGGTTAAAATCAATTTTTAGCCCATCATCTTACAAAATTGATAAATTTTAACCCATAACTTTATATTATAACATTTTAGTCCCTTATTTGTATAAATTAAAAGAAATAACTTTTATTTAACATTAAGTTATAATGTTCTAGTAGTTCTGTTAGTTACTATTAATTTTGTTAGTTGATTGTTAGTATCCGTTAGTATTTCGTTAATGGAACTGACAAATAAAATTAAATTTAAATTTCATATTTTTTATAACAGAATACTAACAGATGTTAATAGTTAACTAATAGAATTAACACAACATTATAATTTGATATTAAATGAGAGCTATTTTCTTTAATATATATCGGTTATGAACTAAAAATATCATAATATAAATTAAAAAGTTAAAAACCTACTAATTTTATAAGGTAAAATGTTAAAATTTATCAATTTTATAAGATAAAAAATTAAAATTATCATAT